TATGGGGAGGGTGTGTTGTGTGAGCAAGGTAGGCCCCAACCACACCCTTGGAGGGAGGAGGGGGCTGGCCTGAACGAAGAGTGGAGCACCCAATCACCCTGACTCCCTACGGTGTCTGGTTTGGAAATGACTGCAGATGATCAGATTCCTGGATCTGCTGGTAGGGGCCGGGAGAGCACCCCAAACCCTCTGCCTCGGGAGCCTTCGGGCCTGCTTCCAGCCTGGCCTGCCAACCGTGGGGATGCCTTGAGCAACTCCAGAGGGTCAGACCTAGAGGGGAGAGAGAGAGAAAGCAGCCTCAGCTAGGGCAGGGAAAATCCCAGTCATCTTGCTTGTCCCAAAACATCCTCAGGGGCAGGGGGCAGGGTGGGGCTACAGGGATCCGGATCCACAGACCTCGAGTCTGGGGCCAACCAGGCCTGAGGGGGAGATGCTCCATATGCCCAATACACTAGAGCAGCGTCTCCTGTGATAGACCGGAAGTCCACCAACATTTTGCTCTCAGGACTCTGAGCTCTTAAAAATTACTGAGAACCCTGGGGTAGCTAGGTGGTGGAGTGGATAGAGCATCAGCCCTGGAGTCAGGAGGACCTGAGTTCAAATCCAGCCTCAGATACTTACCAGCTACCTGTGTGACCCTGGGCAAGTCACTTAACCCCCATTGCCTCCAAAATTTAAAAAAAAGGAAATTAAAAAAAAATTACCGAGAACCTCCCTGCCCCAACCCAGAGCTTTGGTGTATGTAGCTTATAGCTATCAATATTTGCTGTATTCAAAATGAAAATATCTTTGTATTATGAAGTAATCTGGTTTTATAGGATGAGTACAGTTTTGGTCTTGGGGGCTCCCAAGGTCCCCAGATCACCCTTTGAGAACTGCTGTGTTGGAGGAGGATGGGGAGAGTTAAGAAATTGAAGACAATAATAATCACAAGTCTAGACCTGGAAGACATCTCAGAAACCATCTGGTCCAAATCCTTTAATTTTATGGAGGAGGAAACTGAGGCACAGAGACAAGAAGTGACTTGGCCAGGATCACATAGGCAGGATTTGAACCCAAGTCCTCAGAGCTCTTTTCATGCCACTACAATCCTCTAAAACCAGGCGCTGGCTTAGACATGGCCCTCGCCTGCGTCTTGGCTTCTAGCGGCCCCATCCAGACTCATGTCATCAGCGGTGGGAGGGTTTGAGACCAGCCACCTCTTTGTTCCCAAGAAGTGGCTTCCTGTCTCTCCCGGAGTCTGAGCCGGCAAAGAGAGGCCTGGGGTTGAGGAGAAAGCCTTTCAGAGACCCGAAGGAGAAGGGCCTGGATTCGGATCTTGGCTCTGGGGCTTACCTTGTGACCTTACGCAAATCACATAATTTCTGTGGGCCTTATTTTTCTATTCTATAAAAGTTGAGGGCTGGACTAGATGTCCCCTAAAGCCCCTCTCAGCTCTGACATTCCCTGTTCTAGGGGCCCTCCTTGCTCTGATATTTCCTGTTCTAAGCTCCCTTCAAGCCCTGACCTTCCCTGTTCTAAGGCCCCTCCCAGCCCTGACCTTACCTGTTCTAAAGACCCTCCCAGCTCTCACATGTTCTAAGCTCTCTCCCAGCTCTGACATTCCCTGTTCTAAGACCACTTCCAGCCCTGATTGATTCATTCTTTCAGCAAACATTGACTCCACCCTCACTGTGCCTTGAGCCCTGTGCTGGAAGTTAGAGGAGCTCCCAAGTTCAGATGACACACCACAGTCCCTGCTGTCCTGGCACGTGGACAGCTGCATTATTTAATCTAAAATGATCAGTCTTAGTGACAACCAAAGTGTTAACATGAAGTTCAAAGGGGAAGGTCATCCTGACTAGGGCAATCAGGGAAGCTGCCTGGAGGAGGTGGTGTGGCTGAGAATTCAGCGAGGGAAAGTGGGAGGAGGGGCCATTCCTGTCTGCAGGACTAGGAGGAGCAAGCCAAGAAGAGTATGTCCTACCTAGAGAGGGGCTAAGATGGTTGACTGGCATCAAGGTTGCAGAAGGCTTTGAATGCCGGGCAAGGGAGTTAGAACTTGCCTTGGGAGGCCATTGCAGGCCCAGCCCAAGCCCCGCATGCTCCTCTCCCCAAACCTGAGGACTCTCACAAGCTTTAACCCCAGGACACGTCCATGAGCCTCTGCCCCCGTCCTTCAACACTCGTCTATAGGAAGACCGAAATGAGCCCTCAGGAGGCATGCGCTCTCTTTACTCCCTGGGCAGGATAAGCGCTTCGCCTCAGGGAAGTACCAGGATGTCTACGTGGAGCTAAACCACATCAAGTCGAGGTCAGAGCGGGAGATTGAGCAGCTGAAGGAACACCTGCGTCTGGCCATGGCCGCCCTTCGGGAAAAGGAGTCCATGCGGAACAATCTGGACAACTAGCGGTGAGCTGGGGGCCGGGCAGGGAGCACGAGGAGGGTGCCAAGGGATGGGCTCCAGGCTGCCCCGGACAAGGAGCTCCCAGGGAAGAAATCCCTGCCCTCAGTGCGCTTACATTCTAGCAGGGGAGACAACTTATACAAGACATAGAGTAGATGGAAGGGAATCTTGGTGGAGAAGGGGAGCTGGGAAAGTCCTCCAAAAGGTGGGGCTGGAGCTGAGTTCTGAAGGAGGCTTAGGGATTCTAAGAGGCAGAACTGAGGGGAGAGAGTGCTCTAGGCATGGGGGACAGCCTGGACAAAGGCTCACAGAGTGGAGATGGAGCACTGGGTGTGAGGAATACAAATATTGATAATGACAAACTGCCTCTAATGTAGTCGTTAGGTTTTAAGCTCCTGGAGGGCAGGGACTATCTTGCCTCATCCCCAGCACTTAGCACGGTTCCTGGCACATAGTAGGCACTTAGTAAATGTTTATTGATTAATTGATGGATTTGCTGCTTTATGGCCCTGGGCAAGTTGCTGCCTTTCTGGGCCTTGGTTTCCCTTTCTGTAAAATGAGTTGGATTGAATGATCCGTAAGGGTTTTTCAAACCCTCCAAACCACCCCTTCCAGGCAGGCAGGGCAGTGGTTATTATGCCTGTTTAATAGAAGAGGAAGGAGTGCAGAACTAGAACACAGGAGAGCCCAGTCTGAGCCCTGCCTTTGCTGTGCGACCTTTGGGTAGCTGCTTACCCTCTCTGCGCTTTGGGTTCCTTCTTTGCCAAATGAAGAAGGTGGGCTGGTGTCCCTGCCGCTCAAGGTGCCTGCTTGGATCAAGTCCCTTCTAATTTCCCACCTCTTGTCTTCTAGGTTCCAGTTGCTCAGTCCCCTGTTGGATTTGTCCAGCAGAAGGGAGACGTGGTCTCCTCATGCCCAAGGAGACTAGAAGCCAAGCTTTCTTACTAAACCTTCATGGGCAGCGCTCACACACACACACACACACACACACACACACATACATCCTCTGCAGATCTGAGCGCGCCCTTCACACTGGGTCTTAACTTGCACCTTCTTCGGGATTTTATATGTGAAAAGATTTTTATATAGATTTTTTTCCTCCCCCCCAAAGAAAAAAAAAACACTTTATGCCCAGTTTTTTTTTTTGTTTGTTTTTTAAGAATGCCTAGGACTGAGTGGGTGCTCTCCTGCCCCCACACCCCCAAGCCGGCAGCCTCCGCGGGGTCCTGGGGCTCAGTCTGGAAGAGGAGGATGCAGCTTTTCCATCCCCTCCCCTGCCCCGCCCCCCACTCCTTCACTGCTACTGGCTCTGGGCCCTTCCCCAAGTTGAGGCTGGCTGCCCTTCCTACCTGGGACCTATGGATGGATGGACGGACAGAAGGACGTTTTGAGGGGGGAGCATGGGACCTGCCACTCTCAAGTCCTGAGCCGGACCGCGGGAGCCAAACAATGAAGGCGGGGAGCCTCCTCTGCACAGCAAAACTTTTAACTTAATAAAACATCCTAGTTAGCTCTGGGTCCTGGATCCCTGGGAAAGGGACGTGGATGTGGGAGGGGGGAGGGAGTGGCCTTTCTGCCCCTACACATTCTGGAAGCCTTCTGGCCTATTTCACAGATGAGGAAACTGAGGCCCAGAGTCACACAGCTGGTTAGTATTGGAAATGGGATCTTAGTGATGGATTTCCTCCTCCCATTTTTCAGATGGGCAAATTGATCCTCAGGGAGGTCGTGGATCACACAAGGTATCATTTGGCTTTTTAGAAAATTTATGTTTTAAGTTTTCTGCAAGAGTCTCTAGGGATTTTGGTTTTGTTTCATTCTTCCGTCAGTTCCAGGTGTAGACCTCCCCGGTAAGTGCAACAGTTCAGCCAAAACCGACAACATCTGCTGGGTCGGACAACAGCAGCTGTCCCGCTCGGCCCCATACTACCCCACCTCTCCAGCAGGTTCCCCCTGGAAAGTCCAGTTTTCCCCGATTGACCCAACAAATGTTTCCGTGCCTTCTGTGTACCAGACATTGGGAGGGTTAGCAAGCAGACTAACACCCTGGCACTGCCCACGGTGGAATTTACAATCTAGTAAACCAGGCCATGGAGAACTGTAACACACATCAGACTGTCCGTTCATCAGAAAAGTACACAAAGGAGGGAGAGATCTTGGGCCGGACAGACGTCAGAAAAGCCATTCCCTCTGCTGGGATGGAGGGTGGGATGAGCAAAGTCACGGGCTCATAGATGAGGGCCATATCATAGCTACAGAACTCAGAGGAACCTGGGAACCCAACTCCTTCACTTATACCTAAGAAACAAGCCCAGAGAGCTGGGTCACCAGGGTCACATGAAAAGGCAGCATTGGAACCCAGCTCCTGCCCTGTGGACATAGGAAAGGATTAGATGAGCCTCGTAATAACTCATGAAATATTTATTAAGCACCTGCTATGTGCTAGGCAATGGGACAAAAATGAATTCAGAGAATGGAGAATCTGCCTGGAGCTAAGAAAATAATCTGTTGTTATTGATATAGAGGCAGCTTAATGGTGCAAAGTAGATAGGGCTTTGAATCAGGAAGACTCATTCTCATGAGTTCAAGTCTAGCCTCAGACCTTTCCTAGCTGTGTGACCCCAAGCAAGTCACTTCACTCTGCTTGCCTCTGTTTCCTCATCTGTAAAATGAGCCAGAGAAGGAAATGGCAAACTACTCCAGTGTCTTTGCCAAGAAAACCCCAAATGGGGTCATGGAGACTCAAAACACAACATAGACCAAAAATATCAATAATCATATTTGATAATATGACACTTTAATGTTTTGAAATCTTTTACAAATATTTCATTTGATGCCCACAACAGCCCTGGGAGGCAAGTGCTGTCATTCCCATTTTACAGTTAGGGAAACTGAAATTAAGTGACTTGCCCAAGGTCACATAGCTGGTATCTGAGGTCAGATTTGAACTCAAGTCTTCCTGACCCCCAAGTCCAGTGCTCTCTCTATCCATTGTGCCACTTAGCTGCCTATGAATTGGGGCAGTAAGTAAGAACGCTGGAGCCAGATATGGAGAACCCTGAATGCCAGGCTGAGGATGCTAGACCTCAGTTGGTAAGCAATGGGGAGCTTTTGAAGGTTCAAGACCAGGGGAGTGATGTGCAGATTGGAGGTGGAGAAGCTACTTCAGAGGCTGATGATGGTCCAGGAGAATTAGGGCGGGGTCTTGGGGACCAGAGAGAAGAGATGGAGATCGCTGTTGCTGAGGTAGCGTTGACGAGAGCTGACTTTAAGATGTCTCGGGTTCCGAAGACTGGTGTCTGAGGTCATGGAACGTCATTGTAGAAGCTCAGGGTTGGAAGGGATCCTGGCATCGATCAAGGCCTCTCCTTCCCCAAGCTTGGATCCACTCTGTGACAAATGGCCGTCCAGCCTCCACTCCAAGACCATCCGTGACGGGCAATTCACTACCTGTTGAGGCAGCCCATCCCCCTTTGGGGGCATGGTTAGCCAGGCTTTTTCCTTGATATGAGGCATCTTAGGAACTTCCCTGGTTCTGCCATCAGAGCCAGGCAAGGCAAGGCTGATCCTGGTTTGTGCTGCTCTAAGCTGTCTCATTCCCTTAGGAGTCCTCCAGGGACTTCGGGTAGCTCACATTTAGGTCCTTTCCTTGTGCTGATAGCTCTTCTCTGGAACCGCTCGGGTTTATCAGTGTCCACTCTAAAATGTGGCGTTCCTAGTTGTCCAGGTACTCCAGGTGAGGGCAGGGAGCAGGAAGAGCAGAGGCTGAGAGCCTGAAGGGACCTCAGGTCATCTGGTCCGGTAGCCTTTAACAAATGGGGAAACTGAGGCTTAGATAAAACAGCCTGTTCGGGGTCACGGGAGCATTAAATGGCCAAGCCAGGGTTTGACCCTAGGGCCTTTGACTCCAAATCCAGTGCTCTCCCTCCTACACTAGGATTTCTTTGGCTCTGTCATCAAGCAATCCACAAGCCACCTGGGGGAAGGGGGAGGCCCAGGGCTAAAATGGGGGATGAGGGGAAGAAGGCAAAAAGCAATGAACTGGGAGGGGGCTGAGAACAGGGATGTCAGAGCTAAGAGGACCTTAGAACAGGGAAGGTCAGAGACAAGGGAAGGAGCTTAGAACATGGAATGTCAGAGCTGGGAGGGGCCTCACAACATGGAATGTCCTTTCTAAGAAACTTAAGACTATAAAATGTAAGAACTAGAAGGGCACTTATCAAGTTCAAATCTCATGCCAGCCTCCTCCCTCCCCTTCCCATTTTATCGAGAAGCCAACTGAGTCCTGGGGAGGTGGAATGAGCTTACCTCAGCTCAGAATCACAATGTCTGGATTCCAGCCTAAGCTCAGATGCTCCCTGGCTGTGTGACTGTGGGCAGGTCCCTTGAGGTCTCGGCCTCTCCTTCCTCTGTAAAGCAGAGTTAACTGCCTTTGTTCAGTGTCCCTCATGGAGCTGCTGTCAGTCAATAAGCATTTATTGAGCACTTACTGTATGCCAGGCACTGTGCTAAGCTCTGGGGATGCAAAGAAAGGTAAAAGACAGACTTTTGTACAACTGCCGGTGCTGCAAGCCCCGTGCTCTGTGCTACTGGGCAGTCAGAAGACCTGGGTTTGAATCCTGGTTCAGCTGCTTCCTACCCAGATGTGGCAAATCCCTTCTCGCCAGAGGCAGATAGGTGAGCGGTGAGCAGTGAGCAGTGAGTGGATAGAGCGATGGGCCTGGAGTTAGGAAGACCTGAGTTCAGATTCAGCTCAGACTTCCTAGCAGTGTGACTCTGGGTTAATCTCTGCCTCAATTTCCTCAACTGTAAAATGGGTCTAGTAATAGCACCTACCTCCCAGGGTTGTTATAAGGATCAAATGAGGTAATATTTGTGCTACAGAAATACTTATTCTCTTCCCCTTCTAAGCCTCAGTTTCTTCATCAAGTCAGGCATATTATCGCAAGGGAAAAAATGTTGACTTTGTAATCCAGGATTCAGGTTCAAATCCCACCTCTACCAGTTACTACCTGAGTGACCGGGCAAGTTCCCTAGACTCCCTGTACCTCAGTTTACCCATCTTTAAAATGAGAACTTTGGGCCAGATCAGGAGTTCTCAACCTTTTCTGTGCTTGGTGAAGCCCAAGGGCCCTTCCTGGGATCATGTTTTCAGGGCATAACATGAGATAACACTGGATAACAAAGGAAACCAGAGGTTGGTGACAATAAAGATATAACTGGTTTATTTTTTCCCCAAGCCCCACCGAGATCCTTCAGGGCCCCTGGCTAGGAAGCTCCAGACGACATCCTCTCAGCTCTCACCTGTTCTGCCCTGGAACGAATTTGGAGATGCTAGAGGTGGGGCAGCCACTGTCTCTATCATCCATTTTCCTTAATTGATCTGGGCCAAAGTGAATTGTTTAACGTGCATCCTCCAGGTTAACTGGCTCGTTTCTCCCTTTCCCTGGCCAGGAAGCTGGTCTGAGGAGTCAGGGAGCTCTGGCAGCTTGGGGAGAGAGGCTGCTTCTCAGAGGAGAATTGTTCTTGAGCCTCAAAGTGCCCTGGGCACGTAAGAAAAAAACCTGACTCTCAGGAAGTACACTAGCTGAGGGACCTTGGGTACGTCCCTTAACCTCTCTCAGCCTCAGTTTCCTCAACTGTAAAATGGAGTAATAACAGTGCCTGCCTCCAGATTGTTGTGAGGACCAAATAAGACAACGTATGTACGTATGTATAGACCCGGATTCAAATCCACATTACCTAGGTGATCTCTGATAAGTGAGTTCCCCTCTCTGACCCTGTTTGCTTCTCTGTGACATAAAGGTCTGTGACCAGCTGGTCCCTAAAGTCCTCAGCTCCCACATTTGATAATTAACCACAACGGCAGTAATGATAACAGCTCCCGGGTCAAGAGCCCTGGAAGGGTTACATCATCGAATCTTCACAATGACCTTGTGAAGCAGGTGAGATCATTACCGTATTTTATAGACGGAGAAACTGAGACTCAGAAGGGTGAGATGACTTGATTCTGAGCTACGTCCAGGGGTGGGGCTCTCGGGGGCCAGAGGCTCTGCCCCACCCTGCCACTGACTCATCCTCTCTGCCCCCACATCTTTCCTATAAATTTGTAGCACCAAGCCAGGCCCTCCACCCAGGGAGGGCACAAAGATGAGTGAATGTCGGTCCAGAGCTTTGAGGCAAGCATATAAAAGACCCTGGATTGGCCCCGCCTTGATTATCCTCCTTAAGGGGAGTAATTAAGGTCCTAGTGTTTTGTAATGACAATAATGAGGGGGCCCATCTGGAAGCCGGAGGGAACCTGGGGCTGCCTGGGATCCACCCTCTGGTGAGGTTTCCTAAAGAACAAGGTGGCCCTAGGTTGAGGCCAGCTCTATCTTTGCTAAAAAAGGATCGAGTCACTCTTTCCATCCCTTGCCTGTGGGTGAGTTAAGTAAAGTCCGCTTCTAATGGGTATTGTAAGATTTAAGGATCATTTGTCAAAGGCCCTCAAGGGGACTTTCGAGTGTA